GGCCGTTTTTAACGATTTTTTTCAATAATTTTTGTTTTCAAAATTACAATTACTCGCAAATATTAGTTATAGTATTTCACTACTCATTACTTATTTACATTTACGGCTAGGTTTTTTATAAAAAAATAATCTTATGGCAGATAGTTAATTTGCTGTCCTACATAAAAGCCATCATTTAACTGAACTTACTCATTTTACACAGAAAGCTCTATCCAAATACTAATATTTAATTCACTAACAGTAAATAGCGTCTCACTTAGTTAATTATTATATCTAACATTGTTACTTACTGATATACTATTCGCAACATACTTACATATATGCCTACAAACATACACACATGCATACAGTGTCCATTTTGGTTTACAAAAGTCTCATTAGCTCTATATTGCTCACCCTGTTTTATCCCTGTTACTAACTGTTTAATGGTCTGTAAGTCGGTCGGTCACTCACCTTCACTGATTCGCCCGTGTCCTTCGGCAGCACCATTAGTGGCGCGCAAAATTCGCTTTTCACACAATTACCTTCCACTATTTTTACATAAGCACCTTCAAAATCTCTGCCTATATACATATGTATAAGCGAACACTGCCTACTGCTTTCACCACCTCCTCCTCCATGCCCTTTTGAAAATTCAGCAAATTTAAACCAATTCCGTTTCCATTTCCGTCACAACCTGCACAGCTTCCACGATGGTCGTGGTTGCCACCGTCACCGAATCTCACGGAACGTATGTCGTCGTCAGCGATGCAGCATCTGCACTGGATACACAGCACACCAACGCCGAAGCGGTGCGTTTTGGTCAAATCGCAGACACTTGTTCGATTTCGGCCGACGAGCGGCCCGAATTCATCATCACCACATTTTTCGCCGCATAATCAGTTACGAAGCGGTCGCTATTGCGCGGATGTATATTGCCAACTTCTTGTCGACAACACCATGGATTTCGTGTGGTGAGTATGCGTTTGAAAGCATCACGAAATTCTTTGTTGAAAATTGAGTAAATTATTGGATTGAAAGCTGAGTTGGAGTAGCCTAGCCACGAGAGTATTTTGAAGGTTTGACCACCGATGCAGGTCTTGCAGAAAGCGGCTACGATGTTGACACAGAAGAATGGTACCCAACAGATGAGGAAGACACCCATAATGACGCCCACTGTTACGGCAGCCTTGTGATCGGACACATGATAGGGCGAACTGTGATGCAGGTTACGTACTTTGAACTTTTTCGGTTGATTTTTGTTGCGACGTATACTCTTGTAGCGTTGCTTTTCGGCCACTTCGCCGGGGCGTGTGACCGCCTTAATCGATTTAACATGCTTCTGAGCGTAGCAGTAAAGTCTGAAATAATCGAAGTTTTAAGATATATTAATTAAACTTATGAAGATTGCAAATTATTTTAAAAGAAAATATGTATGCTTATTTAGTTATGCATCCATGGTTATATATATAGTATACTTATATCGACGGCTTATTATATTCAATACACTCAATTTAAAACTTTCAGAATAATTACTAGACCATGTTAAATCTAACCGCATAAATCACTTTTTAGTAGAGTTACGTATTGGGATTGCGATGTTAGAATTAATATAAGTGGTCGTTTTTATGTAAGTACCGATGGATTCTAACATCAGAACCTAGTCTCTGTGAAAAGTGCATACCATCAGTACAAAAGTCACTTTTCGATATATCTTACTATAAAGGTTACTGGTAAACGATGATAATAATTCTCATGAGAATAGTAATTCACTCTTATGAGAATGGATAAATACTTTCATCGTGGAGTAAACATTACTAATTAGGCGGTGAGAATGAGAGTGAATTCCCATTCTCATCAGAATCATTCTCATCGTTTACCAGAACCTTAACACAACTGTATAAAAGTAGCATCTTTACATTGAAAATTTCTTTAGCAGAATGTAGGGAATATAATTGAATACATTTGGACCATTTTTAGAATTTTTGTCTGCCTGTTTGTATGTTTGAACTCGCTAATTGCCGGAACTACTAGAAGGATTTTCATGGGACTTTGACTGGTTACTAGAGAGTAACCACGGACATAACATAAAGTATAAAAAAGTGGGCTATGAAAAGGGGCGTGGCACATCCCATAGGTGTAAACTTTTTAATCAGCTATAACTTCGGAACCATAAGTTGCATGAGATTGTATTTGGTGTGGAGACATTACCAAAGTAGGTGTTCATAATAATCTGAAAGAGGTGAGTGTTTACCAGTGTTCGTGTCACCTCCCGTGCTAAAGCTAAGCTAAGCTAAATGGAATGCCCTTTTGTAAACTAAAGAGGGATGAGAGTCCCATAGACGGCATACGTTCAGAGAACCATAAGTTTGGATTAAGTCAGTTAAAAATTGGAGCACTTTATATTATTTTTTCGCTAAATTGAACCACCCAACATTAATAATGGAACAAGATCAGTGTTGCCACTGCCTTACCCTTTAAAGTATTCACAAAAGTCGAAAACTCTATCCAAATATATCCTCCGAAAAGAGCGGACATTTTTACACATTGCATCTATATTAAACAAACGCGGCCCCATACTAAACTTATTTACATGTAGTCAGTACTTTTCCATCCTTAGACACGGATTTGGGAAACAAAGGCCCGTAGTTATGATCAAAATTGAGTCGACTCTAAAGTTATTTGCAGCTTTCTGACATAATTTTCAATGGGACATCTGTGAAAAAAGCTGCAACTAACTTTTGTGTCGACTTAATTTTGACTATAACTACTCGCCTTTTTTCCTAGATCGATTTCAAAGAATGGGAAATTACTGACTACAACTACATACGGGCCAAAGTTTCCGCATGTTCGATGTTTATTACTCGATTAGATTACCACAAATAATACATGCAAAAAATGTACTACTACTAATTACTAATTTAAACTAATTTCGACCTGTTACATTTACTTCAGTCAATTGTTATTTCCTGTTATTATGGTTACAATATTTTTCTATAAAACTGTTGGATTGGGAACTATCTATGAAATTAAAAGAATTCTCAAAAACTTGTACATATTTGTCTGTAAATTACGCCTTCAAGAAAAATGTCTATTTCCAGTTTGTTTGAATTCTCGCTTAACGACATATAACTGAAAGTGCTGTCAAGTTATAGTTGAAAATTAGTCATCGACATGGTTGTCAATTTGGAAACTTTTTAAAATTTGTTAACTACTTGGTGTTATTAAATGCACGTTTATATAGCTAAAAATTTAATTTTTCGAACTGACGAGAATAAGGGAAAATTTCTTGCTTGGAGGATGAGCAGTCAACTGTTACAAAAATGTTATAATAGCTCGTATAAAAATGAAAAAAAAAATTTCCTTCAACTTACAAATACTTATGGGAAATGGTGTCTAAATTTACAGTGAGGAAAAAAACGGCAACACTGAACAAGATTGGTAGCAAATGAAATGATGCCCAATATAATTGAAGACAAAATTTTTACTGGATGTGATAAAGGAGAAGATGTGTTTCTGTTAGGAGTCCCATTTATTCCCACAGACCTTACATTTGAATTTAAAAGCCTTCAGTATTTTGTGAGGCTTTGTTTTGAAATGCTGGGTTTCAACTGGAAAACCGCTGCTGTACCCACAGTCAGTTATATATCGGATGCCCACGAGTGGGGTGTCCGAATAGATTGTGTGCATCTACACCTCAACACAAAAGTAAAAAAAAGCTTTAGCAAAAAATGATGCCGACAGATGGGATATATTAAGAAACCGCCTATATTGTACGACCTGGCTTAACGGAAATTAACATTTTGATAAGAACTGATTCTGGAAAAAAATTGCCGTAGTGATGTGCGAGTCGATAATTTTAGATATTGATCAACTCTCGGTACCGATTTAAAAGTATCCAATACTTTCGATGCTCGGTACTGAAATGTTTATGCTTCCAATAAGAACGCATAAAGGCCAAAAAGAGAAGCGGTTCAGGGGAGCCTAGCCTATTAAAATCCGAGTGAAACCTTTTTTTTTTGGTAGATGAATCGGACGATGTTATCTTTGTAAGCCTGAAAAATTGTGAAACATAATCATGGTGGAAATAAAATCTATGCAGATTTTTTTACAGATCTTCTATTGGGCACCGAAAAGTAAGTATTAGGTACCGAAATCTTTCTCAAGTGTTGGATACCGGCAGATGGCGCTGGAATCAAGATAGTTGGATACCCCCTACGAATTTACTTTTACATGACTTAGTAAAGGATGGGGTTAAGTATGCATACAAAGAAGCGAAAAACTGTTTAAGCGCCCCAGATATCCTATGTGTATCAACAGGTGTATCAAAAAAAGGTAGATGAATTAGAAAGAACACGGTAGGAATATCAAGAACCCCGTTTGAACGGGAAAACTCTTAGGTCCTGTGGGACAGCAAACCTTGCAGATATGCCACAGCTCATTGCATCGAAAGTTGTTTCAACCTTAACTAATAATTTTTACTTTACAACCCGTTTCTGAACACCCTCGGCTTTGAGCTGATAAGCTTTTTTGCTAGTTGGAGCGAAGAAGTAAAGAGTTTATTTTCTTTTCATCATTTATATGCGTTCGCTTTATGAACTTATATGCATTAGGGTGGCCCTTAAAAACCCAAATGAACGATGGTTTTCAGTCTCATCCCCTGAATCGGTACCACGAACACAGATATCATATAAATTTTGGTCGCGATTGCAGACGGTTTAGGGGCAAAGTACAGATTCCTCTAAATTAAAATAATTTTTTTGTCATCCTAACTATACCCAAAATCGATGATGTGCGACACGCTTTAACCGACTTCAATCGGTACAGAAATTTATATGTGATATCTTCGACTATGATAGTAACGATTTAATTTTAATTTTTTAAGCCTCCGTAGAGGAAATTGAATTTGTATATAGCTTTGTGCATGCATAAATATAAAGGTACAAAAATACCTTTATTTTCTATTCAGTGAGCCATTTTTCTATTGTACCACTCAAAGATCCGTAGGTAGTATATATGTAACTACTAATATTTGTAAGGGCTAGCGTATGTTCGTTTATGGTTTGCTAGCGCTTGGAAAGGAAATTGAAAATTGTTGCAAGCGGAAAGAGGTCGGACTGGCGCGTTATTCGTGCAACAGCCACACCTATTACTTGCCGAATTCATTTTCTCTCCGCTCTTGCAATAGGAAATTTGGGCAAGTTTCGAAACGGAATTGGCAACTGTGCTATTCTTGCTCATTCGCTGGTCTAAGAATAGCCGTTTGTCTTTTTCCCTAAAAACTAGCACAAAACGGCCTGAAGTCAAAAAGGTTTGATCGGAAAAGTATGCAAGTACGTACATACATACATACATACTGGTACATAAATGGATGTGTCCGTTGTTGCAACATATACATAGATTTACCATTAAGCGATGTTGCACTATTTTCACTATTTTGCTGCAATATGTGGCATAAGGTGTGCCAGCAATCCACTTTGCGATGTTAGTACATTGCATTAGCCAATTTGTAGCGAGCCATAGTCGTCATCAGAGTTGGTGGGTAAAAGGCATTAGTAGCAATTTTATGTGCCTGAGTGGGCAAACACGCGTCCATGGTAATAAGTGCAACAGGGGCATTCGCACACCAATGCACGGCTGCATCTAGCCATTTGCAATATTTACACATGCAATACGTGCTCGAGCAAACGATGGCGCGCTATTTTCCAAATTGTAGGCAGGTAATAGCCGCCCGTGAGGGAGGGTGCGGTAGGTAGATCAGAACAGTTGGACAGTATCATCGCGTTATAGCTTTATGTGCATTAGTGTGCGGAATAAAAATTAAATAAATAATGCATTTAATCGCCGTAGCCTTGAAAGTTAGCAATTTCCTCTGAAATATGGAATAAACTCTAGAGAAAATTGAAATATATTGTAAAAGATTAAGAGAAAATAAAATTTTGCGAGAAAATAAATGCATATGGGCATAAAGTTGTGAAAAGGTGAAAATATACCTACTCACTTAAGCATATAGAATAAAATGTGTTCGGATTATTGCATATATATATGCAATACAAACAGAGGAATAAGAGTAGATGAATTAATCCAGCTAACAATTTATACTTATATACAATTGTTTTTTAGTTTTAAAGCACAATGGGAAATGATGTTGCTTATGCCAGCTATTCATAAATTTATAGACAGCCATGATGTCAAGGAGTATACCAAGAGGAGTGGGTAGTAATGTCACCAGAACTTTTCAGAGAAAAGTAAAATAAGCTTAAAAATGCCAAAAATCAATACTTGATTTGTAGGTAAAAACAAAAATATCTATGGATATAAATTAATCCCTTTAAATCTGTATTTCAGTCGGTATTTTGAT